AAAAAAATAAAACAAATGTCTTGTGCATTCTGTTAGTGCTCAAAGTGCATAAATTATTTTTTTATTTGGAGTTTTGACCAGACAGGAAGTCTCGAGTTTGTGTGATTGTGACCCAGGAGTGTCGGCTGCAGAGACGGGTGTTCTCGGAGAACGACGACGACGGATGACTTGTTCAGATCTGAGTCTGAAGCTTTCAGCCGAGGCTCTCACAGGAGCTTACAGTGAATGTCTGCCGACGTGTAAAACTGTAAAACCTCACAGCTGCAGCAGAACCGAAGCTGTGGATCAGACGAACTGAGGAAACTCCACCAGCTCTGAGTGAAAAGCAAGAAACAAATGTTTGGATCATTTCAGGAGCTCAGAGTCAAAGAATTAAATGACCAGAGGACAGGCTGGACTAAAAGATTATGATCAATACAAGGGTATTTCTACAGGTAGGCTGAAGGCAGGCTTTAATGTGTTGGACTATGTCTGTGTGAATGTGAATTGTCTGTTAGCAAAATATCTTGCAACCTACTGGACATATGTTAATGAAACTTTCAGGTAGTAATCACAAATTGTGCTTCTGTAACTGATTAACTTCTGGAGACAACCCAATTCAAGATGGATGCTACAGCCAACAAGCCTTAGGAAGCACAAAATGGCAATAATTCAGTCAGCACCGCAGATACTGAACTAAAACCTGACGTGGTAATACTGACCATGTGAGGTCACAAGATTCAGTATATTTTCAAGGTTGGACCAAACCTGTGAGCATCTTCCTCTCAAAGACGATCTTTGTGGCATGACAAGTTTGTAATCCTTCAAGGAATACTAGGCTTTTAATTCAAACCATTTTATTTTTTGTACGTATAAATCAATAAAACAATACAAAGTATACTTTTAAAAGGTTGTCTTTAATCATTTTCGGAGCGCCAAATTATATTACTGATCGTAAATACTGTATATCTTGAATCACCAAAGGCAAATTTTCTATTAAAATATTGGATATATTTATTTTCTTATAGAAACTGTTTCATTTAGGGAGGTTTTTTTTTTTAAGGTTCAAAATACTGTAAAAGCCTGAAGCGTCATCTGTTTTTGTTTCAGACCAGAAGCCAAACAATATTATACATTTATTCCAGTTAGATGTGTGTGTATATATATATATAAACAAACAGGGCTATTCAACCTGCTCAGGGGTCAAAGTTACTGAAAGTCAAGAGTCCAGGGGCCAGAAATCCAGTAGTCGCCATTAACTAAGCTCGTTTCACGGTATAAAAATACACCGTAATTGCTGGTGTACAAGCCGCTACTTTTTTTTCACACTTTGTACCCTATGGTTTATATGCAGGGGCATCTTATTTATGTACAAAATTATGATTGATCTTATATTTAATATGTGTGACTTAGAGACAAGTGCTCTAAATGCTCTGTAGTCCAAGAATTATGGTAGTTTTATTTAAAAATGAACCCACTGGTGGGCCCAGCTGAGCTCACCAGTGGGCCTGATTTGGCCCCTGGACCGTCAGTTGAATAGCTCTGACCTGAACTATAATAAAAACAGTCTCGAGGAGAATAAATAAATAATAATTACAAATAAATCTGTCACATCTGTGAAGAGATTTCAACAAATCAAACAACTTCCTGTAAATCATAGGGAATAAACAGCCAAGAAGTTTAAGAAAATTCATTTTATTTATTTTTTACACACGTTAAAAAGCAAATTTAAAGCACAAAGATTTACTCTGTATATAAACACTTCTCTTACTCGGACTAAAAAAATGATAACGTTTGCACATTGTGCTTCGATTGTAAAGTCTGTACAACGGCTCTGGGCCCGCGGTGCTGCCACGACGCCCAGTAAACATCTTATTGCATAAATCAATTTGACCTCAGAGGCCGTTTGATGAAGAGATATCGTTTGTGTTTTAAATCAAATCAGGAACTGAGAGGGGGAAAAAAAAGGTTCAATAACACGGTGAACAACTTGAGCAGCTTAAAGCTGTTGCACACTGTCCAGATAACAAAAAAATTACGAGACAATACAACAAAATTATGTGACAATAAACTGCAGTTGTGCTTTTATTAACCCAACAAAACTCAACCCCCTGTAAATGACTCCAACCACAATGAAAGGGGAGAATCTGCAGCTATTTCTCCTCAAAACAGACTAAATGCTAATCTCTAGTCGCACAAACTCCTTTTGTAATAAGCAGGTTTTACACATCTTGGTTTGGCTAGAATCTACTCGAGCTACATTAAAAAACTAGCATTTGTCAAAAGGCAGTGTCTCTCCGTGACGTCTCTGTGGAGACTCGCCCAATGCCCAGCGGAAGTCAGTTTGCACAAAATATACAAATTCAAATGGACTTGAATGACTTTGGTATAAACAACGTGAAACGTCTATTCCTGAACGTTCCCTTATATGAAATTTTAAAAAACTACTGCTCGTTGTGTCAAAATGGACACTTTGAAACAAAGTAAATATCTGAAAGAAAATCTGAACTGGGATCAGCAAAATACAAAAAGTGATGATTGGAACTTTGATCTGTTGTAATAATTCAGCGATAGTTGTGAATCCAAAATATACTTAATTGCAGGATTTTACGTGAATAATCTGGATTACTTGTGCAAACAGCATGTCACACAATTAATTTGAGACTTTTCCCTCCAGTAGATTAAGATCCTAAAAGAAGCTCTTCTACTTGAGTAACAAATATTAGGATCAGCAAAAAAAGTCCTCTTGGTAATCTGATTTTTCTTTGTCCACTAACAGATTCAAACTAATCCCTACCTTCTTTGATTCAGTTTACATCGAACTCCAGGTTGATGAGAAGCCCTGCTACCATCCTCCAAACAAGTCCCTGCTCATCTGTAGAGCAGGTCAGTGAAGGCCCCACTGACGTCGAGGCCTTCACTTTGTTTGGAAAAAGTGCCGACTCATCCGTGACCCGGGGCCTGTGCTCGAGTGAAGCCTCTTCACTCCATTAGTCGGGTGAACTGTGAGCGTTCCTCTCCTCATTCAGAGGTGAGCAGGGCGGATTAAAACCACGGAGTTCACCCTCTGGGAGCAGGTGAAGGGAGCAAACGGAGCCTTCAGGGACCGTTGGAGATTTCCTCCTTTCTTTCAGTGAACGCTGTAAACTGGGACGACGACGAGACGTCCAACTGCACCAGCACCGTAACAATCGGTTTCAGCTATAAGCCACAGAAGACAGGACAACTTTCCAATTTAGAACAAAACAAAAGAATGAAAATAAATTAACACTGAGCTACTAAGAGGTAAAAAGAAAAATAAAGTGACATTTTTGGGAAGATTCATTAGGAGCTTATTCGTTTAAATAAGGAACTACCGAGAGGAAAAAACACAACGAGATACTTCAGTAAACTTATTTCCATCTGCAGCCTCTTGTTTGAGTTGTAAATGCTGCCAAAACACTTTTAAAAGAAAGTAAACATATATTTTAGTTTAGAATTATGGTTTCCTGAACCAGATAAACAATAAACTGAACTGTTTTTGTGTGTGTGTGTGATTTGTGGTCAACTGAGATCACATTTGCATCTCACACGAGACGTTTCATTCACTGAGCTGACGTGAAAGCGATGCAGCTTTTTTGTGTTTTTAGTTTTGAGAGTTTACCAGTCAGCTCAACATCTCAACATCTCAGCAGCTTCACAGCCCACAGCTAGTTATGAAGATTGATTACGTGGGTTGAAAGACTGTTGAGAACCTGCTGGATTTATCTCAGGGAAACATTTGTGTTGTTGCCAATTGTTGCCTCGAAATATGATTATTTCTCAGAGTGGGTTTTAAATAGCTTAAACAGCTAATCTGTTTCTGAATGTTTTGTTTACGAGAATAAAAACATAAAGAACACAAGGCTAATTATTGTAAAAAATGGTTCCAAAGGTAAGTGGTGTGCAAACACAGAGCATCCGATTCCTCAGTTTGTGTAAAAATAAACCCCAGATTAAAAACAAAAAAGGTTGAATCATGTCATCTGGACTTCGTTTTTTTTTGTTAAAAAGAAACGTTTCGCCCCTCATCCAAGAGGCTTC